ATGAGATAGGTAGAACTTTGCCGGAAGTATTAGCCTGACTTTAATTAATAGTGCTAATTTCTGTTCCACTTAATATTGCTTGTAGCTGTCGGAGACAAATTTTGTAAAGCTATATCCAAATACATTAACCAAGCCAGATAAAATCTTGGCCTTTTCAGATTGCCCAGTACTTAGTCTATAGAGGATGAATGTTCAGGATTTCTGAGTTGTGCTGCTTGTTTTCTAATTTCAAAAGCACCTTGAAATCTTTTTTTGGACTGAGGATGTCTGATTTTGGTTTGAAATGTATTCTTGAGCATAAATAGACTTTTGAGATATGTGGGGGTTCTGTCATGATGTTCCTGGATTTTTACATGCTGCATTCTGATAAAAACAGCAGGCAGAGTGCATTTCTTTATCCGCTGGAAAAGTCAGAAGATTTTTCTTACTTACCTGGGAATTTAGGAAGAACCTCTTTGGGAGTTACCACATGGCCATGTGTTCAGAAGTAAGTCAGGTGCATAACAGCTTTTTCTAATACTCCGAACTGCTAGGGCAGGGGTTGCTCTGGGAAGAGATGGGTTTTGCTCTCATGAGACTTAGTGATGTACTTCTGGAAGTGTTTCTTCCATGTGTTACTTTTTCCAAGTTTATGGACTACAAAAAGAAAAAAAAGAGTGCCAGCAACGCTGTATTCATTTTTTGGACATCTCTTAAGTAAGGACAGGTTCACGCTTCCACTGGCAAAACACCACCAGAGTTTGTGAGTATGACTTGCGTCTCGGGATTTCTAGTTTTGCTGGGTACAAGGAAGAATTACTCAGTTGCTTATACAGCAACTTGCAGCGAGACAGACTATGGGAGTAAGTTACCTTGCGAATTCATGTGACCTTTGTGTAGATATATTTATATTTAAAGTCACAAGCTGATTCTATAGAAAATGCATGGGATTCACACCCAGGACCTGACTGATCCATACACATCTGACGGCTGCCTTGCTGACTGTAAGGGAAATGACTTGCTCATGCCATGCACGCCTCTTGTTTGTCTCTCTGGGATCCTAGCCTGTGGCCTTCGTGTGTTTCCTATACTCAGTTGGTTCTGCTGGGTACATATGGGTAAGAAAGGAGCATAAGTTCTTTTTATTACTGTATGATGAACTAAAATGTACCTTGTTAATTTAAAATACTTCATCATGTGCATCTCTTGCCTCCTTGATAAAATACAGCTAAATAAGTCTTTCAGCCTAATCAGCTATCTTGGGAACCGATAAAAATGGAAGGCTTTTTATTGTACTTCTGTTTTTTCTCCTTTGTTTACTTTCAAAACTGACCTTTCACGTACTAGGTACTAGCAGCACTTTGAGCGAGACATGCGTATTTCCATTGCTTCGGGGCTTCTGAAGGCTTGGGCTCAGTTCGAAGCTTTCTCTAAAGATAAGTGAATGGGACAACAGATGCGAAACAACCCGAGGCTTCTGGCTAAGCGGGCAGACATCTCAGGTCATTTGTTCTTTTTTTTTTATTTAATCATTCTGTTGTTTCAAGAGAAGTTTTATTTCTGAGAAGTTCTTTAAAATTACTCCTTTTAATCGCAGAATTGGAGAGAGGTTTGGTGGAGCTTTTGACATACATTTCTGTAAGGAAAAGAAAAATAGTAGAGATCTGTTCCTTAGCACTGTGACAGCAAATTCTGCAGCTGTTTATCATCCTCCTCTGTCATTGATAGGCACTGCACCAAAGTGTGGGAAAGCTTAAGCTTCCATCTGAAGTCCTTTACATTCTGTAAGGGAAGGTCTCAGCACTGTGGGGCTGGTGCTTTGTGCCTGTCATAATTGGTACTGAAATTTTTAGTATTCTATTTCCAGCTTAAGGATGCCTTTTTGTTATCAGGAACTTGGCATTTCCGCTCTTCTCCAGTTGCCTCAGGTTCCTCCCTTCCTCAGAGATTATATACCGAGAACAAAAAGTAAAATGGAAATTCAGCTATTCACCAGTGGAAACAGAGGCATGCTTTTTATGTTCATCAAAAATGGATCTGTTGCAAAGCCAAGTCACTCCCCTTTTCTCCCCATCCAACATGGGACTTTTCAGGAAGAGCTGGGCTCTGCTCCCCAGCGAGCTTGCCTGGTGCAAGGAAATTCACAAACGTGTCCTGTGAGCACCCGCAGGGCTCAGCTGAACCCTGAGAATGCCGGTATTGCCTCCTTCCTGCGTAATCCACGCGCTGTCGGTGTGTGTGGGTGTCACAGTGCAGACGATGTGGGCTCTCTTAGCATTCTCTCCTCCTTGCTGAAGCCTGCACAGAGTATGCCCCAGCTGTGAGATTCCTAGAGGACCAACCAAGATGCTTCTTGTTCCAGCTATTACCATGGTCTACATGGAGAAGTTAGGTTAAATCTAGGACTGTGTTCATTGCGGAGGTCAGAGGGGAAGGCTGTGCTTAAAGCAAGCTCTTTCTCTACCTCTTCCCTAAAACCCTCCAGAACCAAAGTTCCCTGTGGCTACAACCATTCGAGTCAACTCAGAGCTGGCAAGGCAGTTCAGCTGGGGAGGAGAGAGGAGTAAGAAGTGGTGTAGTTGCCCTGCTGTCTCAGCCACTGCTGCCCACAGAGGATCCATTAGGTTTCTGAACAGCTACTCAGAGCATTTTGTTTGAGGTTTTAGCGTGGCTTTCTGAGCCTTGTGTGGCTCAGAAGAGGCAGCTTTTCTTCTTTTTCTTTCGGTCTTTGAGGCTTAGTGCTTATATTATGTTGTTTGTCAGTTTGTGGTATTCTTTGAGGCCTTGTGGGTTTGAGTTCCTTCCGTGAGGGCTGTTTATTTAGCATTCATTATTTTAATTCCGCATAAACTTCTGTATCAGCAGCTCCTACAGCAGGCATCTCTCTGAAGAAGCCTTAAAGTGTCATAATATTTGAAAGAGAAAAACATGCATTTCTTGCTAGGACCTGTAATTTAGGTAGCAAAATAATTGGAGAGGGAATATCTCTTATCTCTTATCTCTTGTTGAATCTGATCTGAAAGACAGTTACAGCTTTTCAAACCTGGCTAAAACTATGAATTATCCTACAATATTTTAATGGATCTAATGGCAGCTGTCAGATAGGCGTATTTTAAGTTCTGTATATTAGTAACACTTGCAGAGGGGCTGTGGCTGTTTCCAAAGACCTTTCTTCTAGTGTGGAATGATGGGAACCCACGTGGCAGAGTAACTACTATGGAGATGTTTGAACAAATACATTCCTTGCATGAAATAATTTTATTCCTAATAGAGAGAAGTTTGGATCGACTTTAGTCATTCTTACAGCATCCTGTCAGAAGAGTTATGTAACATATACATAACTCCAAGTGGTCTGTTACTTTAAATGTTAAATGTATTCTGCTCAGGTTACTGTAAGAGTTGCTCCATGCTGTTTCAGGACCATTGGGAAGTATGGGTGTGCAGGTTTTCTTTTATCTCATTTTCCATGTTGAAGGCCACGTTAAAAAACCTAGGAAGAGCCTTTAGTAATCATATTACATCGCTGTTAATGAACAAAAGCTATAAGGACCTTCTGGAAGGCAAATCACAATTAGAACTTAAGTATCGGTAGGGAATTGGGCTATCATTCTGACTGGCATTTGTCTTGTCTTTTGATATGGTTCAAAACCTTCCTACCTAGCCTGATTCCCAGCCTGGGGCTTTAACATTCTACTTCGCATTCGTTTTATTTGGTTTGTCTCTCACGCACTGTGTTTTGCACGAGTTTGTCGTTGTGCTTTGTTGGAGCTGAACTGCTCCACCTGATGGTGAAAATAAGAAAATGCCGTCTCTCACGCGGTGGGGATTTATTTGGAAAGATGTAATCTGGTGAAATTAATGCTGTAAGGGGTGTATGCCTTAATCCAGGAGATTTACTGTTGGTGTTCTGCCCCCTTTATGCTTGGATGTAGAGCCGTTAAGATTACGTTCAGTAGTACGTTGTTGCACAAGTACCTTGAACCCACAGTTTTCTTTAATGCTTCCAGATACCTGGGGGGTGGGTACTTAGAGAAGTGTGTGTCTCAAAGTCAAGATGCTGCCGGACCCTGAGATGCTGCTATGCCTTGCAAGACGTACATATCTGAAAGAAGTTGTTACCGCTCGTGCCCAAAAAAGGGAAATGTGGTTGCTTGGTAGCAGTTGATTTGGTCATGTTTTTATTATCCAATGTGGAAATACTTAGTGGTTGAGTATGTTGGGGAGAAGAGCTTGTCCATGTCGTATTTTGTACCTCAAGTCCCTTTAGTTGAGCAGAAACAGAGGTAAAACTAAAAAAAACAGAGAGAAACAACCTGCTTACAAGAAAAGTTTTAAAAGGTTCTCTTGTGGCATTGAAAGAGAAATAATCACATAAATCTTGTGTGAGCAGCAAAGACACAAGAAGCATAACAGAGCTGCATGCTCCCAAGTCCTTTGGATTGCCCAGCTTTTTGCAGTGCAAGAGTCTGTGGGTGCATGCTACAATAAATATGTTTCTGGCATCTTTCATATTGCCCTAAGATATCAGAGTATTTTCTGTCTGGTAGCCAGATCTATCATTCCTGAACAGTCATGTCTTCAGCCACAAAAGCAAAGGTATGACTTGCTGTTGAGCTGCTCTGACTGGGATGCAGAGTGGATCCTGTATGGAAGATGGTTATATGTAACAGCACATGCAAGTAATGCTCTTTAAAATGTTTGAGCAGCCTAAGGCCGAGATTTCCTGTGCTATTGCGTTGGTAAATGTGAGTTCTGACCATCTGAGCACAATCTGATTTTCCTGCAAAAGGAAGGTCGTGGAGCACCAACTGAAAATCTCTGTGAACTGGCAGGTTGCTCTAATTCATGCTGTGAAATTTTGAGGAATCTCCTTGTATTCAGTTTTCATATCCTTTATCAAAAATTGCGAATTTCAAGCTTTTCCTGTAGTTTTGTCCTTTACTTATATTAATCATACACATGTAACATTGCCCAAAATGGTGTGTACAGACTTTTTTTTTCTTTCTTTCTTTCTCTCTCAGACACCTTGGCTCTGGAATACCAAACAGTGCTGGAACGGGTATCCATATCAGGTAAAAGTTACAGTGCTCCCTAAAAGCAAGCATGACACCTCTGCAGAGCTCTGGTTTTTATTATGATGGAGCTTTTTGTCAACATACTGATGTGAATGGACTACTCTGTGTGCTCCCTGTGTTGCTTGAGCTCAAGATGAGAAAGATGAATGTAGCTGTCACACCTCTTTTGAAATGAAGCGTAAGGTCTGAAAGCAGCTGTGGGAAGTCTAACCAGGAAAGCAGACATCTGCAATGGTAGAATGGTCATTTTTTACAAAGTTCTGAGGCTGTTGATAGTTTTAGCAAAGCCTCAGATTCAGCAGGCTGGGAAAAGCCGGTATAGTTCTCATAGTGGTTATATTGCATACAGGGCAAGGCTTTATCCCTGCAAGCTGGTTTGATCAAAGGGGAGACTAAAGAGAAGGTAAGTTTCTCCTTCAGGTGTTTAAACAGGGGCTGTCCACTCCTGGCTTCATGAAAGCTTACAGTGAAACATGTAAAATTAATGAGAGAATTGAGAATTGTTTCAAATCTTTATTTTCAGCAGTGTCTACGTTTTTATAAACTCAAAAAGCATCACCATTTCTCTCTGTTCTGGGCCACAGTATGTAACTTCAAAGACAGGACTTAAGTCAGTTATCTCTTCTACAAGGGAGAAGAATGCCACTGTTAAAGTAAAAAATCCTAGGTCGTGTCCTGCTACACTCATTCTCTCTTTCAGTCTGCTAAAAAATATTTTGCTCAAGTTTGAAATTTAGTTTGCTTAAAACAGTCTTCAAAAGAACAATAACAGTATACTTATTCCTTACTGCACTGCTAAGGTTTTAACTAGTTCCAGGAATATATAATTTCTGGGTGCAAATTCTGGCCATCTTTCACAGCAGCACAGTTGCTCAAGTGCTGCAATAACACCAGGATTAACTGTAGCCCTGTTTTCTTAATACTGTTTGTATAACAGGTAGCGATAAGAGATTAAAGTTGTGAAGTATGACTTTTTTTTTGATGTAAATCAGAGGCAACGAAAGTTTCAAATGTAACCTAGTAAAATGATCTTCAAAATTTTTAATAACTTTTATTAGCTTTTTCAGTTAGTCTGAATTCTAATTCTAAACTGAGCTTCTTTGAAATGCTTCTTTTTTAATTATTATTTCTAAATTCAGCATGTAGGAGTCTCAATAGGGATCACTGAGGCATTGAATTAGCTGCTGTCCAAATATAATTGACACTGGATTCCAAAAGCTCCAGCCAAGAGTTTGCAATTTGCAGAGTCTACACTGTCTAGGGAATATTGCTTTTTTTTTGCTTATTTTTTTCCTAGACAGTACGGAGCGGGAAGAGAAAAAACGTCATTGCCAGACTGGAAAGTATGAGGAAGAGTATTGTCTGAAAGATACATAAATTCCCTGTGACAGTGAACAGCCCTGGACAGGCTGGAGAACTGTGTTTAGGTTTGGGTGCTACTGTTCTGGAAGGTTGTGTACCTGTTGGAGATAGTTCAGTGGAGACAGTTCCAAGAATGGCCAGAATTTAGTCATTTGGCTTCAGAAGAAATAATGACTTAAATTCCACCCAAGGACTGGAGGGTGAACTGAGTAACATTAGGGAAGCAGAAGAAGAAATTGAATAGGAGAGGTGTTGAGTCTTCATCTCTCAGAGGTTTTAGGAACAATCGTTTGTCTGAATTGATATGGCTGTAGTCACTGGTGCCTTTCAGTCCTGTTTTATACTATTTTTGTGTTATTACTTGCAAGAAGAGATGAAAGACCATGAATCTTACTGGTTAAAGGACATATATTTACCAAACTTAGTGGAAGAACAAGGTCATTCAGAAAGGTAGTTACAATTTTAAAGGGTGGCAACTAAGCTTCCTGTACTAAAATCATGCTGCTATTAGAGAGGGTCCAACAGAAGGCAGAGCATCAAATAAAAGTAATTGTCAGAATCATTGTCTTGGAGATAAAAACGTATGCTGGGTGCTAATCAAGATTAAGTACTGTGTTTTCAATTTGGTTTTGTTATTTTCTCAACCAAATAAATTTTCTAATCTCTTGTTTGTTGCAAATCCTGTGTATGTCCACTCAAGACAGCATTGTAGAAATCCAGCTTGACTTAGTGTAGATGTCACCCAAATTATCTATTTGACTATAACTTACGCATAAGCACAGAACAGTCCTATTGAAATTAAGTCTATGGAAAACTGAAATCTAACATTTAAACTAAGTAAAACACACACTATTGATATATCGTGGAGGGAAACCATGATATATGTAGAATCACTCTACATTATCATTATATATGGATTTAGAAATGCTGATGCTATTGTTAATAAAGAGCTGACAATCTTAATTGTTTCCCAGAAGTTTTCCCCAGTGAGCGCTCTTGCAATAATTACAATAGTTGTGGTTCATCGCTAGCTCATGTTCTTTTCCCTTTTTTTAATTACACCTTATTAAAAGTTTACTGGCAGTCTCACTAAATCAGAAAAAGATTATATTGGCTCAAGAAATGGCTTTAAAAGATTGATTTTGAATGTTCGTATTTTTCATAAAGCATAAGCATATGTCTATATTTAAATAATCCACAAAGTGCATTTAGTGAGCACCTAAGGACTATTTTTGAGCTGCAAAGAACTGGTCTGCCAAAGGGAATGGAGTAAAAGAAGCAACTGAAATGCCTCTTGGCAGGGGAAATAGCTCGTGCCCTGCTTGGGTGCATGGTTATGCCAGTGCAAACTGCTCTAGAGATGGTTCATCTGATCCCTAAGGAGATGCCCTCAGGAGCTTCTCCTGTGCCACTGCCCCTCTCTGTCACTGCAGTGGAAGTCGTGGCTAGCGTGGAGGCACAGCAGCAGGGAAATTCGAGTAGCTCCTCAGACTGGCTCTCTTAGGCTGAAGGCCAAGCAACTTATGTGTGCTGGGGGTTACCTTCTTTGAAGTTACCCCAGGTTGGTTTTGGCTCCTGTGTCTTGTTATTTTTTTATTTTATTTCTTTTAATTTCAAACATCTGTGTAACCATGCTCTATATCAGACAAGGCACCTGTATAACTTTATTTTATTTTCTTCTTTCCAAAAGGTTAAATTCTTTAAAAGTAGGCTTTTATATTAGAAAGAGCTCTGTTTAAATCTCCCATTTTCATCATGAGCAAATGAGATTATATTTCTTTCATCTGCTCTAGAATTGTTTCTTTTGCTGTGATTTAAACCCATATTACTGATGTACAGCAAGATGTTTCAAGTAATCTTTCAAAAAAGACTTAGGAGTACTCAGTATTTAGTTTGTTCTAGATCCCAAATGGATAAAATCATAAACTTTTGATATTACAGTAATGTGAAAATTTAAACATAAGAGTAGAGTAGGTTGGGGACCTTTATTTTTCTAGAGCCATCAAAGTTTGAGGCAACTGTTGTCATTTTTTCTTACATAGGATGCTTATATATAATTCAATAATCCCTCTGTGTTTAAACATGACTCCTATAGAGCTCAGCTGCCTGTAATGTAAGTTAGACTATTAACCTTTTCTCATCTCCATCTTTCAGCCACTGATGCCTGACCTTCATTATTACTACATAGTTGAATTGTCATTCTACTGGTCCTTAATGTTTTCTCAATTCATTGACATCAAAAGAAAGGTAAGAACACTATAAAGACTAAAAACATTGAAAGCTGTAAGCACCTATCTTCCTTGACTTGAGGAACAGTTGTATTACCTGTGCAATGAACTGGAAATACAGTTCTTCATAGTCACCACTGCTTGCAGGAAATTATCACTGAGAAACTGATGTTGAAGTGCTTGTCTTACTCTGTTCCTTGTTACTGTGATGTGGGTTTTTCTGCACATGGGAAAAAGAGCCTGAAGTAATCAAATATTCATTGAGATAGCATCAGCCAAAAAACCTTCTGCTTTCATTCAGCGATTTGAATGGAACTGAACACGTAGTAGCTGGTAGATGTAGTCTTTCTTCTGAGAGTTAAAGGATGAAATATCAATGTCAGAGCGGGACTGCCTCATGAATTCATAGTATCACTTTGGTAAGATCTATGAGGGCTTTAAATGTATTCTGGAAAGGGATGGTAAAACCAGGGATACATTTAATATTAAAATGCAGTATTACACTTAGCCTTACCTTTATAGTTATGAAATTTCAGGTAGCTGAGCATTGCTCTTAAGGGACTGTTAATCAAGAAAATAAGCTCTGGCAAGGTAAAAACATTTTTCCGGTATCAGTAGCAACCTCTTCCATATTCCTTCATCCAAATTCTCTACTCTGAAGAGAGTGCTAGTCCATAGAAGAACAGGCAGCCCAACAGTAATTCTATAATAACGGTCCACTGAGCCATTCCTGCAGATTTTGTTAATGTTGCCAAATTATTTGTTTAAACATTTGGAGGGATTTTATAATATTTTTATGTTCCACCTTCTGCTGTCATTTAATTAAATGATTGTAGGCTATACTAGTGGAAAAATCCCTCTTTACTAGAATTTTAGCAGGAGCATTACTCTGAAGAGAGTAAGTGAAGGATCCAGCATGTCCTGAATAAATTTATTTGTTGTTTGGAACCACATTGTGCTCCTGGGAGTCTTGTGTCAGACCTACATATGTAGAAAAAAGCCCCTCTATTTGAATTTCAATTTTTTTTTAGAAGTAGAAATCTCAAGAAAACATCCACGAATTTTAAATCCATATTGGAGGGTAAATTGCAAACAAAACAACCAATTTAGGATGAATACATGTAAATCCCTTGCTTGCATTGTCAGTAGCTGCTAAACATTGTATTAATCATGAGCTTGAAATGAATACAACTTCACTGTTTCAAAAAAAACAGAAACGCAGAAAACCTGTTCCATGGAGCTGTAACGGTCATAGTATCATAGAATCCTAGAATGGCCCAGGCTGGAAGAGACCTTAGAGATCATTTCATCCAACCTCCCTGTCATGGGCAGGGACGCCTCTCAGCTAGATCAGGCAACACATGGGGACTGAACGGGGATCGAACCCGCGACCTTGGTGTTATCAGTGGAAATGAATTTAAATCAAGAGTAACATTAACTAATATACTGCAAGTGCCAGCAATACCGAATAGCCGTTAGTCGATATATCAGCCAAAACCAGACCTCTGCAGTGATGTTACAGAATTGTTCCGGTTATTGCAGCAGAAATGTCTTGTGTCTGACCAGCCCCCTACATTCACGTTCAGCCCACTGCACTGTGCCATTGGTTATATTTTATTTTCTTTGTGTACCTCTTGAGGGAGAAGAAAACGTAACAGCATTGCAATTACAACAGAACTACAATCTTGCAGTGCAATAGATTTTTAAAGAATGTTTAAACCTAAACAGCATCTAGGTTCAGCACTGAAGTACACTTCTGAAAAGGGCCATTGGGAGGGTCGGTAATATCTTTCTCATTTCATACATCCCATGAGCAAATGCTATAGCTTTTTCCCTCATGGTTTGGAGGGTTTGTTCTCACTGGTGAGCTGAGCACAGGGCTGAAGCCCAATTCTGTCTGTAGTACAGGTGCAACTAAATAATCTTTTGCAAATCTATTTAAGTGGTGGGTACTTTTTATCAGGAAGACTTCAGCAGCAGTAGAAATAGGATGGGGTATGGAGGTGGGAAAGTTAACAGCTAAGTACCACCCCTGCCGCAGATTTTCAGTGCTTGAACCCAGAGCACGAGCTCGAGGCAGTGTCCCGTGCATCTGCTGTGTCTGAGAATGCCCCAGGTGTCCAGCAGAGAGCAGGAGCACAGGATCCGCAGTGGGAAGTTGAAGCCTTTCACTGTGAGCAGCCTGCAGGAGACAGCGGGGATGTCATATTTATAAATAACCCATTAGATCACTGATCCGTTTGGACTGTGGAGACAGTTATTTTTGTAATGTAAGCAAAACTGATAACTAGGAAGATCAGACTGGAGAAACGTAGCTGTGCGCTGGTGTCAAGCAGTAAAACTCTGTGGCCAAGGGGCAGTGCAAGCTGTCACGGAAACCCGTGAGTTGACAGATGTTATCGCTGGGAGTAGTTGGCAAAACACAGTAGGATCTTGACAGAGACACCAACTCTTGCAGCACCATAACAGTTCTCTTTTAAAAGAGCAGGTTTAGTTTAAAAAATGTGGAAGCTTCTTGATGTACCCAATATGCAATGTGTGAAACAGTGCCCATACAAAATAAGACTGTTTAGCTGGAGGAAGCAGGAAATTTGCCAGCTAATACCAGATGCTATTGTAATACTTCATGTGAGCTGTTAATATGCAGAGCAGATTAACAGTTCTCAACCTGAGAAATCTGTTGATGTTTTCATGCTACAGTGAGAGGAATACTTTTATCTAAGTCTTGGTTATGATTTTAAATACTTTAAATTCAGCAGTGGCTGTGCTGTAGTCTGAGATGATCAAAAGTGCGCTGTCAGCTTTGTGCACTGCAGGAATTCCAACAACTGCTTTTATGTAGCCAGGTTTCTCTCAAGGTGAGGTGTGGTAGGTCCTCTCTGAAGGCACCGGCAGTCGGCACTCGCCTAACTCCAGCACTGATCTTCCACTCACTGTAGCTCAAGAGAAGGGTACTTGCAGCTTTCCATCTCCGTTTTATTCTTCTGTAGTAGGAAATTCATGACTTTAAAATGACTTCCAATTGCTTTGCTGACTTTCAAATATGTGTTCATCTCGGTGTTACGAATTCCTCCAGATTATCTTTGCCTGGCTGAAGACGTGTGAGCAAATTGTTTAGGCTGTTGCACGTTCCTGCTATTGGCATTAAGGCAGCGAACTGAGTAGTTTAACTTTTGCAGTTTTATAATGGCATGTTGTTTGCTTCATAAATATCTACTATGCTGCTGTAATGATGTTCTGCCCTTAAGGGATTTCATTTTCAAAGACTGCAACTCAGTATGATTTCCTTTCTTTATCATCTCTGTCCAGCTTCCCATTCTTGTATTTTGTAAAACACAGAGGAAAAAAAAATAAATTGGGGGTCTTTCTTACAGTCACAAGCTGCTCATGAACTTTAAAAGCAGTGAGGCTTATTTACATGCTTTTTGGATACCTGTTTGATTCAAAAATTATTTAGTGGGTGTATTTAAGGGAATATATAAAATTCCTACTTGGTGAAGACCTAGGAGATCTTTCTCTGTATTCACACCTTTTAGTACAAAGGATCTTGGCAATTGCTACAGCTTCTGTGTTTTACTTTTTTTTTAAAAAAAAAAGATAGGTACAGGTCACTCAATCCAAAATACAATAACCCGTAGCTGCTAATTTTCTTGATTCTAAAAAATTTGCGCTATATTTCACTAAATCTCGACCCTAGATCTCTTTCTTCAAACTGAGTTGATTTAGTTTGTTTCAGAGGAGAGGCATTTAGATGGTGTGTGTTTTGCAGACCTTTACTAGAATTGTAATGGTTGAAATATTCCCTTTCCTTGTTGATCTAGAACACAGCCCATTTCCAGAAGCTGGAGTGACTGATGAAGACTGTGTTTTGTCCCTCAGTGGCACTAATGCTTGGTAGCCACGTGACAGTTCAGCCAGTGCGTGTGACAAGTTAAATGTGGGTAGCAGAAGCCTTGATTCCCAGGGCTTGTCTACAAGTTGAGACCCACAGGGTTTCTCTGTTG